ACTGATTATATGGATTTGAGAGTTATGGTACAGGAGGACGTAGGATGTTCCACATACTGTGCCAGAGCATCATCTATGACTCTAAAGCAAGTGGGATTACTCAGACGTGTTTTCGGACAGTTCGAAAGAGCACTGCTCCTACGCTTGTTATCAGCGTTCGTTTCGCCACGCACGGAGTACGCGATCAAGTATGGAACCTATGGTTAAACCACGACAAGAAGGCTCTAGAACGTCCGCAAAGGCTGGCAACAAAATTGGTCGAAGTTTTGTATCACAAGACATACTCCGAAAAACTGCAAATATTGACACTCCACTCATCCAAATACTGCCTACTTTGAGGAGACCTAATATTGGCATATCACATATTGCATCAATCTGACCACCCTTGCCGTTCTCTGCTGACTTTAGCTCATAATGCTCAGGGGACATCCACCAAAGGTGAAGACCACCTTGATTGCCGGCATCACTCGTTTGCAGTCAGAGTGTTCGGCTTATGGAATTCCGTCCCATCCGATGTAGTGTGTGCTCCTACAGTTGAACTATTGAAATCGCAACTTGATAAAGCATTGGAAGGCTTAAAATCTCAACATCCGGGAGTGATCATACACATTATTATCATTGTTATGTTCTCTTTATGAACTTATTCAAAGGAGTCTGTGAAAATCTTATGGGGCATGATAGGCTTTAGCTTGTTAACTCGCCCATAGTAAAACTTTAACTTTGAATTTGAGTGGTGCATGAGGCGCGAACATCTGGCATTAAACCCTTGGATATCACTGTATAGATATAGGTATACACGGGAAATTTACGAACACAACACAAGTGATGCTTCCGGTTGGGTTGGATTGATACCGGAGAAAGGCTATTTCTAGTTCACTGAGCTACAGTATTCGTATTCCTAAATCGGCTGGTCTGAAACCATCCTGAGAAGAACCGGAATACCATTTACGCTTTGGATGCTGAACGATATTGCAACCGTCTTGGGTTTTCCCAACTTTTTGTCCTCTATTCTCGCTGTTTAATTGCATCCAACATGATGCGAATTGTGACTGATAAAATATCAAAACATCGTTCTTAAACTCTATCCGAATGACGATTTCAAAAGTAATCTTTCCGATTTGTTTGATCTCGTATGAAATAGGTGTACGTATGCACAGAAACAGAACAGGATCCATCTTGTTCTCTGTGAATTTGATGGTGCCATTTTGAAACACTGTTCTGTTTGGTCAGTAAACGAGACGATGACGAGGGGTTTCAGTTTATTTTTAATTATTTTATTTCTGTAGACAACAAATATTCATCCACCTCCTCAAGTTAACAAAGTCGGGGCAAATATCAGCAAAAGATATGAAAGTGAAATGACCGAAAATTAGTTATCCCAAGCTTTGCGTCCCGAATACTTTTTAGTTGTATATTCATTTATATAATGACCATTAGAAAGGTTTCATTGCATAGTTCAGCCAGGGTACCTGATTCATCAAGCCTAGAGCATTGGTTTGGTACACCGTCACAAGAGGCTCTGAAAGTATGGAAGGGACTTCGAAACCGAGCAGGCCTACCACTAAAGTTCGGCGGCGGTCGCAAGCTCCGACCTTGGGGCCCGAACCATGCTAGAAATCGTGACTCACTGATTGACTAGAACCTAAAAAAGGAATCGTTAAGCTTGCTGACGCGAAATCATGAAGAAAAACTGCCAGACCGCAGCAGACTGAAGTATCCTATGGCGAGGTATACATATATGAACAATTACCAACCATACTTGTGAATTGTTCATCCATCCAACTTACATTTTTGCACGGAATAGGTTGACTCCACCTCATTCTGCATAACTGACACTCGGGCAAAACAGTCGGGAATCGGATGGACTTGAATCCAACCAAACATGGGGAAATCCAACGATGAAGAGTAGTAGTAAATTCCAGGCTTCGTGAACACTTCTGTGAAACGACCTATTTTTCCAGCACAGAGAAAACATTTTAAAAATATTGTCTCAACAGTCCCACAAAGCGCATTTCAAAACAGAACACAAAACAGATTACTCTCTGTTCTATAAGAAAAATAAACAAACACTGGTTTATGCATCGGCACAGTTTTGTCCATTACTCTACGTCGTTTGATGTAAAAAAAACAGACGAAACCCCGATCAACTTCTTAAGTAAGAGAAGTATCAATGAACCCCAGGAACATATTTTTACTTGGTTTTACATGTACGAAACAACACCCTCAAATGATAAGCGTGAGGTTTTCTGTTGTCATTATGACCAAATCGCAATCGAAGGAAGAAAATTCGAGAATGGTGATTTCCTATGATGTCCCCAACATCAGCAACTCAGCTTAACTGCTTTTATATAAGTTGTAATTTTCAAAACACAGTGATGTTGGTACAGGTGAAAATAAGCCGACGTTTCGGTTACCGGGGGCAACCTTTATCAAGGCGATTTTACAATCGAAAAATTACAAACTTATATAAAACTTATCACATGGCGCATCGATTTTTCGATACACTCCGAACGTTGTTCGGATCTGAAATTCAGATTAACTGCTCTTTTTATTCATTTTCAGTCGTATCGCAAATCGACAACCGAATAAAGAAAGATCGATAGAACAAATCTGAACGGACGAATCAGCGACAGACGTGGCTCTCTGCTGCAGGATCGATCGCCGGAACATGAGAATTCGGGAAAAGCAGCATTACAACTGTACACTCGTAGTGGCATTTTTCACCACTGAATATTACGTCATTCCACTCTGTTGGTTTTTCGCTAAACAAAACGTTCAGTCATCCAGTCATTCTGTATTAGGGAGTCAGAGTGGTCCCTGAAAATTGCTTTATTCTGGGACAACCATTTAGAACTCAGGTGATTGGTCGGAACCACTAACCAATCAAGACGGTTGACAGCTATCCCGTCAAGCAATCGTCTGAAATATACATTCCTCCGTCCTTTTCTTTCTCCTGTAAATAAACATAATTTTTGAATAATGCAAGAACTAATTAGTACACACCTCCAGCTGTGTTCAAATCAAAGTTTCATACGGATTTGTTTAAAAGATATATGGGAGGCTGAAGGGGACGAAAAAAGTTCCGCCAATTATTCGACTTAAAAACTGGTCTCATAAAACGGTAACGAAGAGTTTGAAAAACACCCAGATTGTGTTTGCCATGTGCCTGCCAACGTAGAATAATCATAAATACAGTTTTCATCAATCACCAGCACTAGCTACCACGGGGTAACTCGACCAAAACTAGGTGATGTCACGAACATAGTATAAATCGTTCGTTAAATTCACATAAAACAGCATCACTTATTTCATCTTAAAACCCCTCCCCCGCTTCTCCATGAGAGGGCAAAACCTAGCGCTCGCTACGAGAACTGCTCGCATAGAGTGTCTCTATTAATGCTCCCACCCGGGGGAGCCATACGCTTTATAGAGGGGAGAACAGGCAATATCCGGATCTGTGGTTGGTTCGATGGGTCAGGCGTGGATAGAGGACCCGGAAAACTTTGATTTCAGACCTAAAAAGGGTCGTAAAAATTTTGGTTCCATGACTTTCAGGTTGCCATTTGATTGGCCCGATCAAGGTTTGGTTACTCCATGGCCCTGGTCTCCAATCTCCTAGAAAATCATCAGTTTTCTTTCAGGCATCCTGGCACTATCTTTCCCTGGAACAAGTCGTGGGTCGATTCCGGTGTAGTGACTACGCATACATCATCATCCTTTCAACTGTTCTAAGGGGGTTCTGTATTTGTAAACGAAAAACAGTTTTCAGTATTGATCACCGGTAGACCGAAGTCATCTTAATCTATTCTCAATCTTATTATTAAGAAAATATACAGAAAGCAGTTTTCAACAGTTTATGAGATTTGGGGAATGGTGCAATAAACTTACCTTCCTCGGAGAATGGAGAATCGACATATTTCTCCATATCTTGTGGTGCTAGGATATCCTTCACTTTGAAAATGCCTAATTTAAATTCCCCTCCAGGTGGCATGCTCCAAGTCCACGTGACACGATCCCCTTGAACAGCGTCTATCATGATCGGTTCCCATCGGTATGTACGACCATTTTCTGTCAAAAAAGTAAAGGAAAACACTCGAGGTTTGTCACATTCGGTGAGTGTGAAGTGCAACTCGGTAGACAAAAATATCTGATTGGATTCAAACTTCATTTGGTGACTTATAGATGAATAAGAATCCTCATTTCTGTCGCGCTTTTTACCACATCACATTTAGAGTGAATCCACAACCACGCCGTAATTTTCGAAGACCTTTTTCTAATATGTTACTGTGTCGACCACTCCAGTCTTCTTATACTGTACACTGTGATCGTTGACCAAGTGAAAGACTGCCACTTGGTACACCATTTCCATAAATGCAATCGTTCATCCACGAACTACATTGTTTTATTATGTCATAACGAGTGTACGCTGGAATCTGGACATGGAATAATTACACTGCATTTAAAGAGTTTCACATCATTAAGTGAGTGACACGTCGATGAGGATGCCAGAATCAAGCTGGACCAATGGAATAATCAACAGATGGTTGTATTTGTGACTGTCATGGGCAGTACCCATTGAATTGCCTTATTCTTCAAGTGTATGCGAAAAATCGATTCATTGATTTCCCTTCCGAAAGACTCACGTAGATTTACGCCTACATTCTGCACAAAATGTTCTTTGCTCAACGAAGGTATGGAGCACGTGAGGTGAGTCTCATTTGCCATCAGTTGGGAACAATTCAATGGCAGTCGTTTAGCACATTCTACCTCGTTCGACTGCACAGAGCTGAACTCGACGTGAGTAGTATGTTCCAAATTGTTCCCGGTTAGAATCAAGTTTCGTCCCCCGAGCCAACTGCCCCCGAAAGCAGATTGTTCCGTCACGTGATATTCGTATGAGATCTTTATGCTATTCATAAAATGGGTTCAGAAGTCACTGGTATAATGTTATATACATAATAAAATAGTCAACATGAAAGAAGTCAAACCAACGTAGTAGAAAAACAGAGTTGCCGATGATTAGTGAATTTTCTATTGCATCGAACAATCACCACTCACGAGACAGTCGTCACACACAAGTAGCCAAAGGTAGTGCCATTGAGTGCATTGAAATTGGACTGCTGTCTGCTTCAGGTGACAATGTGAAGAAAGTACACGGTAAAATCGTAAAATCGCACTCTGAAAGTGCTAAGAATCATCTTCATTTACTTGAAATTGAGGAGAGTACAGTTTCACCTGGGGGGGGGTTGCCTTATATAGAAAAAATGAAGCGTGAAGTGAAAATCTGGGAAGCACTCACTGTACATCCGTTTCAACCTGTTTGAATACAGTTTGTCATTTGTGTTTACTCATTTGTGATCACTCAAGTAGGATGATGTCATTTTGCCTTTTTTCTGTCTCATTTGCGGCTTATCAAATATTTGAACGGCTAACCACTACAAGTACATGACATGCAGTCGGCTTGACAGGCGTAACAAACGGTTTGCTGTCACAACACATGCCCGAGCGCACTTCAAAATTGAGCGACGAAGTCGAAGGCGCTACCGACAACCGACAGTCCGGTGAACACGGGTATATCTACGGCTACCCCCCCCCCCCNGACAACAAGACACAATTTATCTTGGTTGTTCTTACAGTGCGCTTCTGAAATTGGTTGACAAAATCGATCCACTTGTCGTGGAGTGGAAGTTTCTTTTGAATTCCAGCAGTCCTTGTTTGTTCACATCCTTTCACTAGGATTTCACAATCGAATATATGCTATATATATGCTTACTTACTTTACCTCAACGATTGAAGACAATGAATGAAGTGGTAACATCCAACGAAACGTATCTTACTTCAAACTTAATGCAGTGAATAAAAAGGACCCAGCGATTTAAAGTTACACAAATATGTTCATCAAGCATGAAAATTCTTCATATTCCGTGGAAAGCTTACTCGGGATTATTGATTTTACACTCAGACGGGAATCACAATGTGTGAGTATTACTGAGTTCATCATTACGAAATTTACGATCTATTGGAAGGTATGCATGATTATACAAGCACAAGTCATCGATCGACCGGATAAGCCACCTACAACAAGCGAGTTGACACTTGCACTAGCGTGAACCCATCAATTGCTGATAGTCTCAAATCTCTAGCAGAACCAGTACGCGGATACTGTATGGAGTAGGAGTGCCATCTACTTAACTTCTATTTAACTTTTGTATAGATACGGTTATAGAAACAGCCCCGTCCTCTCTAGTATGAGGATAGCGGAATCGATTTACTCTAAGATGGTAGACTGTTGGAGGTGAAAGCTTCCTTATTTGTGGCGATGCGACGATGTTCAGTTTCGCGACTATCTGTTCCTCACTCCCGTTGTTCTCAACCCCTAGTTCTTTGTCGGACTAGCACGAATGGAGGCAGGTGTTCGTCCCTCTGGGTCGCGGTTTTCGTCAGGTCCGTTTTCAGGTCACGACGTGATCTCTGTTGTTACGTCATGTGACCCTTGAGTTTCACCAACCTGTCCTTGCAACAAAATACGATGTGCTTGTTCACTGAGTGAGCGACATGAATTCCATATCGTCTCATTGTCATTTCTGAAACGTGTTTGATGTTCCAATGGATTGTTATTGACCCTGGTTCTCCTTCTGTTTGCAAACAAATTGGCAATCTCGGTCAATTAATTAATTCTGTCTTTCCGAGCAACGAGAACCGATTTGGCTGTTCCAATCCTGATGACATCATCATTGTCCCTGAAAATCACATACCCGAGTCTTCAAACGTAGAATGCAAAAGTGTTCACAACTGATCAACGGTCCCAGTTAAGGATACAAAACAAGCATAAAAAAGTGGAACAGGATTTCCTTGCCTCCGTATACGAAGGCGTGTGTTCAAATCCCGCTATCACTGCCTGATTTTCCCCATAGTTGTCTTTTTATTGACCGCTGTTTTCTTTCTGAAAATGGTGTTGTTGTATATTCTATAAACTGAAATGAATTAAAAGAAACCACTGCCTATTCAAAACAAATCCGTCAACTCTGCTTCCATCCATCAACCGACCTACATCTTGAATCTGTTTGGATTTCCAGTCAAATTCGTCTCCTTCACCCCCAATTTGCTTCCTTTCCTACTTGGGCACTCCTGCCACTGTCGTCCCATACTTCTGATTCCTATCGTCTCCCATCCCCCTCCACTTTACCAAGACCTGAGTTGACTCTGCGAATGCACTGATCAATTGCTTCCCTCTTATTCGTAATGTATATCACACCATCCTCGCCACATCCTCCTTACTTGCTACTTGTTTCACACTCGCCGATCCATCAATCAACATGCAACGTTTAATGATGACCCTCACACCAATGGTGACTTTGCTCCCACATATTTGATTGGTTAGATATTACCCATTGGACGCTTATGCACGCGTGTTTGCTGCCCAATTCATTCTGATTGTTGACCTTGATGGAACTACACCCGCCGCAGTAGTTGAACTGAACCCTTAGAGAATTGATTTTGTCACAGTAGTACACTATGACTCCGGATTCCAGGTTTATAAATGGTTACAACATTTTATCCTTATCCTTTATTGACCGTAACAGCATCACAGTTGAAGGCAATATCGTTTGATGTTGATCTCGATATTTGCCCGATACTCAGTCGTTTGATCCAAATTTTATTATGCAATCCAAACAATTTAACATCGCCTTCAAAGATTCCAAACTATTTCACTAGGGCAAACTCACGTCCCATTGGCATAACCTGCCGCATCCGAGAACACAACCAGTGAGTATATCCCAGGAGCTGTCAGTTGCGGTGCAATAACTCGGATCGTTTTCGCATTCACGACGGTGACCCGCTTCGGTTTCACTTGACCAATAAGTACCGTTATGTCCTTGCCAAATCCGGATCCGGAAATTTCCAGCTCCACGTCACCTGTGATAGGAACAAGGGGACAGAAAATTGTTCATTGAATTCCTTTCGAAATGAAGAACACACCATTCCATTTGTATAACTTTCAAAGCACAGCTGATTCGCTTTGACATGTTCGAAGTTATTATAGTTGTAATAAAAAGGGCCGGTGGGGTGGGTAGAGAGTATCCAGGTGACTGCGCCCGAATTGTTTGCTGCACTATTCACCGACAACAGTATTTGTACAAATACATTTTCTGTGCTAAATAATCGATTCATCGTGGTCTATTGTGAACAGCCTGTCTAATTCTGTTTTACCCAGACAGTGTATAACTGTACGTTTAACATTTCAAGTTGCCCGAGTATCAAATTCAGAAGTCTGGGTTGGTGGAACAGCTTGACATGATACCCTGACATCATTACTTCATACGGGGACAACTTGAATTGCATAAGGTATAGGCATGACATCAGGCGTTCGAACTGGCTGTTCAATGATTCATCAGATCTGGCAGCCACATTTTTGACCACTAACCAGTTGCAAACACACGTACTGGCACAAACATACCATTAGGCGTACGGAAAAATATAAAAACACTGTGGTTTACCAAATAATGAATGAAAGCGAATCATCCAATCGCCTCGGAAACTACGTGATACAAATCTATCATCTCAGTCTAAACTTCCTGAACCTTTGTCCGTCTTGAACGCTTCCGGTGGATTGCTCACCAGCACCTTTCCTGAAAATAATCGTGTGATTATCCTTTCAGTAAAGACAAAGAAATTAATTTATTATTATTGTTAGTAGTAGTAGTAATGGTAGTAATAGTGTAGATATGAAAACGTTTCTCATTACGTTCTTTATTACCTCTCAAAGGAATGTGTTCTGATGGGGTCACACTATAAAGCAACGGTGCCATATCTCGTTTGTATGTAAATCTGTAGGCTGCGATTATGGCCAATCCATTTTGTTGCATGATGACATCCACATGGCGGTCCTCGTCCTAAAGACAAATTAAAACAAATGCGTTGTATTATAGGTGTACTCCGGGAGAACTGAACGTGCACTCAATCACCTTATCTGGAAAAATTCAAACACCACGAAATCAGCGACGGAGTAACTGCTTTGCCAACCCAAATTGAACCTACCATTTGCATGCTTTTTCGCCTATTATTCTCACAACAAACAATTTTATTCTCGTTGTCCGGACCTTAGCGTCGCATGGTTGATGATACTCAGATGTGTACCAACTATGAATCAATCAGCAAACCAACGCACATTTTGAAAATTTCAAGATATGCAAACCAGGCCACTCGGATTATTTTGTGTATGCTTCATCTACCAGTTTTATACTCTGAGGTTCAACCCAACACGGATAATATATCACGACGTACCGCAGTGCATCATCTTCTCATCACATGCCTAAATTATTCCGTGAGAGGGGAGTGGGTCTCTACAAACAGTGCGTATTCCCCGAGGACAGAATGCAAACAATCTGAAACGAACGAAGCAACGGCTAACTTACGACATGCCACCTGCCACTGACCATGAGCATGCTGCTCGGGGAACCTCAAGCTATCTATCGACCGATGGATTGCTTTGAACCAGCCAACACAACGGGACTCAGACAAGGAGGTAAATGGCGGCACTTCTGCGCATTACAAAGCCACAAGTGAGGAGATAAGCTCACAACGTAAGCCTTACGTCGTCCTACTTTGCGTTTGGGAATAAACTATAGATAGTTGAAACACAGATTCTGAGGGCATGTTTACGACGGGCTCATTCTCAAGCCATTTATATCAGAAAATAACGAAAATAACGCACGTTGTTCATTGAATGATCATTCATGAGGGCTAGTCGAAGAAAGATGCACTTTTCGTTTCTTTACAGCCGGGACCAACCGGTGGCCTTCGTTTGCTATGCACATCAATACATATCTCTGGATAACCATTAACCAGTAGCGTCTGAAAACAGAGCCAGCCGACAAATTCTGCTTCACGTGTTGTCTGCCAATTCACCTGCATTTGCGTTGACATTTACATCGACAGAACGATTCGGCCCCTGTCACAACGGATGTCCGAACACATTCCCGAGTGGTTATCACAGTCCATGACCGGAGAAAATCTCAGCGGTTAATTTGATAAAGGAAATCCAGGGTCATCAATCGCAAAACAGTTTTGGTTTTAACAAACGAATGCCAATTACCTCGTCTACCAATTCGAACAGCCATCGATTTTTACCAGGGGACCCGGTAAATAA